GGGGGAGATTTTGGGACAAATATAAAATGGAATCAAACATTTCGACCAGTCGGGTCAACAATAATTTTAAAAACATGTATTTAAGTGTATTAACTAATTGATTAAGTAAATTAAGATAAGCAAATAAAGTAATTAGAGAAACTAAGCTAATTAAACTAAAATAAGTAAATTAAGTGAACTAAGTATTTGATTAAGTCAATAAAGTAAATTAAGCTAAGCAAATAGAGTAATTAAATAATTAAAACTAATTAAGGTAAACACACAAATTAGGTTACTATTAATTAAACAAATTAAGTAATTAAAGAAATTAAGAGTTACTAAATTAACTAATTAAGTGATTGTTAATTTATTATTAGGTAATCTAATTAAGTTAATATTTATGTAATAATTTATTCTTAATTATTATTGATAATTATTAATTTAATAACTTTTAATTTGATAAAATCCTTGAAGTAATTTACTTCAACCATAATATTTTTTTTTTAACCAATACATCCAAAGTGACATTTTAACCTTTCTCGTTTCAGAAGACAAGAACGTATAAAACGTTCATTCAACAAACGGTAATGGAGCCAAACCAAACGTCCTCTTATTTTGCTCTATGAAATCATCACCGGTCATTTTTCTTGCTTTCCACGTTGGCGTGGAAAATAATGAATTCATTAATATTATCTCAAAATACAAAGGGTTTAGAGTCCAAAACCTCTTTTCCCAAGAAAACAAATCCCATTCACCGTCAGAGATTCCTGGTATCCAATTTCGTTTTCTCAGGTCACCCATTAGGCCATTAGCCCATTAGATTCGCTGATTCGCTAAGAGATTTTGTGAAAAGAAAGAGGAATCTTTCGTGTTTGAATAAAAATGCATCTGTGTCGTCAGTCAGTCGCCCTTTTATCTCTAGCTTCCACGAAGTATACTATCAGCATGTGAGCATGCATTCTCCCCTCCACTGCTTAAATAATGCATTCTCTTCCCATCTCAAACCCCTCAAAAATCAAAAGCCAAAATCTGTCTCAGTTTAGCAGCAGCTGTAAGTGTCAGAAGAAGAAAAGGAAGAGATGGAAAATTGGCATTTCAAGCCGAATGGGGAGGTGAACACAGCTGCTGATATCACCATCAGAGGGATACTCAACATGATCATGGGTGCTCTTGATGCCAAAGACCCCAGGCCCACTATCCCTCTTGGTCATGGCGATCCCTCTGTTTTCCCCTGCTTTCGGACGACTCCAGTTGCTGAAGATGCCATTGCTGATGTTCTTCGCTCTGCCAAGTTCAACTGTTACGCCCCCAACGTTGGTATTCCTCCGGCAAGAAGGTCCATAAGTAGATTCAGTACAAAAGAATCCGTTTCTTCTTTACTTTTTCAGATACATTTTTATATTGCACAAGTGTTCAATTATTAGACCTTGCAGTTGATTCTATGAAGGTTCCCTCATGGGCAAGCTCCCTTTGAAACCATTGGGTTTCAGAAATAGAAGATTATTTCATGCCAATATAAGGTCATACAGATATCAGTTGCAAGTGGATTCAGATGAATCAAATTTTAACGGTCCAAAGGGTGCCTCCCACCATTTTCGTTTTACTTTCTATACTTCTGATTCTTTTTCGACAAAAGATTGAAGACTTTTCTACTGTCTTTGAGTTAAGCATTTTACTTTGAGAATTTGAATTTTATTTAGATTGATATTGTAATGCTAGTCGAAATTTGGTATTTTAATAATTTCCTTTTAAAATGTATTTTGATGTTATTGTTTGTCTTTTAACAGAGCTATTGCTGAATATCTCTCTACTGATCTTCCATATAAGTTGTCACCTGATGATGTTTATCTAACTGTTGGTTGTGCACAAGCAATTGAAGTTGTACTTACTGTCCTTGCTCGCCCTGGTGCCAATATTCTGCTACCAAGACCGGGGTACCCATATTATGAAGCTCGTGCGGCTTTTAGTCATATCGAAGTTCGTCATTTCGATCTTCTCCCTGAAAATGGTTGGGAGGTTGACCTTGATGCTGTTGAAGCTCTTGCAGATGAGAATACAGTTGCAATGGTCATCATTAATCCAGGAAATCCCTGTGGAAATGTCTATAGTTATCAACATTTGGAAAAGGTGAATGAAATAGGACCTTGTCTCTGTCAGTTTTTGCAACATGAAATCCTTTCCTGAGAAATTCTGTTTGATTTAATATCTCTGAAAGAAATTGGATTGGATGAGGTATTAATAGATATTGTGTTATATTTAGGTTGCTGAGACTGCAAAAAAGCTTGGTATTTTGGTAATTGCTGATGAAGTTTATGATCATCTCACTTTTGGGTGTAATCCATTTGTTCCCATGGGAGTGTTTGGAGAAACTGTTCCTGTCCTTACACTTGGGTCCATATCAAAGAGATGGATAGTGCCTGGTTGGAGACTTGGTTGGCTTGTAACTAGTGATCCTAATGGCATCCTTAAGGAAACCAAGGTTATTATTATTCTCTCTTTCCCTTCATTGTTAGTAATATCTTCCTATCATTTCATGTACTCTATATGTATGATCTAGTATTCCTCCTTTATGTCTTAATATCACTGATGCACTTTACATAAAGCAGTTAGGATATGTAGAGAACACTGATGTGGGCCCCACTGCAGTGGTCCCCACTGTGTTCGTAGGACAGCATGTGTAGTTATTTGCTTCAGTTATAGTAGTGTCAGTTTGAGTCAGTTTGTTAATTCAGTTGTTATTTATTTCAGCTTTTATTTACTTTATTTATTATGCAAGTACTAAGGGCAGATGTGTCCTTTCCATTGTGTACTAAACATAACCTATAAATAATAAGAAAGTGGCGGCGGCAGATCTGTCAGAATCTGTTCCTCCTTTCAACCACTTGTGTTCTCCTGTTCCTCTTCTATTCTCTCTTCTTTCTCTCACTTTTCTTCTATTTTGTAAACCTAAAACCTATTAGGATTCAAGACTGATTACAGTCTTGATCTTCTACTGGATATGTCTAGAAAAGCATTGTTATTGATGGGAGTTGACATCTTGGAAGATTCTTAGAAAAGGAAACTTCTAATGGTCTTTAGAACATAGGAAATTTCTCTTCCTCGTCTGTGTGCTGCTCATGTGGTATGCATACAGGAGATCTAAAAGCCTCATTTTCCACTTGCGAATTAGGAGATCTAGGTCGAAACTCATCCCTAATCCCTAACCTTGTAAATTAGAGCTATTCTAGGTTGACACTGTGCCTCATAAGTCATAATGATGATTAAACAAGAGAGAAATAGAAATTAGATTTTTGGTGCTGTCCAATTCAATACAGAGTAGACAGCATAATGGTTAACCTGGTTCTGATAATGTCATATGGTCCTAAACAGTTAGGGTGTCTAACTTCTCTTTTAGACAGATGCTTCAATATAATTTCCCAGTTGTTATATCTGGACTGATTGCTTGTCTCCCTACAGGCCTATGTTCAATGTCATATCTGGAACATTTGAGTTTTCTCCATCCAGATAAAATAATGTAACAGATGGATCATCCTATTACTATTGGTTTTGATCTCTTAGGCTCACCCAAATGATGGGGATATGATCTTCTCCGTGTGTAATAATTAGTATCAGAGAGAAGATATACATTTCTATCTTTGAAGAATCAATCTTTCCATCGGTTACCATAAATATGAATTGCACTAAGGAGCATATGATTCTAAGTCCTACTGGGTTTGTATTGAACCTGTCAAATATATATAATCTACATATTTGCTCCAAATGCATTGTAATGAAGCCATCAAATTCATTTTTCTTGATCAATTTCCAGCATAAGGGGCATTGGGGTTGGCATTTAAGGTTCATGTTCCACAGTTATTATCCAATTGACAAAAGAATTTTCTTAGAGGCTATAGTGGTAATGGGATATCCACCGACTTTGAAACCATTTCAACAGTAATCCTCTTTAGCTTGGATTTCAAGTTGTCAACATGTTAGATGAATATGTTATGAACAATTCCTGACTACAGTGAAATTACCACAAACATGCAAGGTACATGATCACTTCTCCTAAATTGGTACATGAAAACTCAAGTTTCAAGTTCATGTGGCTTATTTCATCTATTTATGAATAGAATTACCTAAGGGACTTCTTCTATTAGTTGTCAATTGGAGATGTGAGTGAATATTGAAAAATAGTCTAGGCATGAATATAATATGCTCTACTCCCTTTGTCTTGAGCATACTTGACCCTCTGTTTCTCTTTGATCAACTACAAGGTTGCAAACTTTAAGTGAAGCTTTTGATAAGTTAACTGATTTTTATTTTCAATTTCATCTTTGTATCCTCATGTGCATTAAGTTAATGGCCTATGAAGGAGAGACTTTAGATTTTGGATTGATGATTAGAAATTTTACATCTTTACCAACGTACATGTATCATATAACCTAGTTTAGCATGTATAATAGTTTGTTTGGCCCGAGGGCCTTTGAACCTTGCACCATCTTAATGTTGTCAGTATACTTCATTACATGTTGAGAAGATACCCTTTATGTGGATAAATAAGAGATTGAGTAGTGGAATATTTTGAATTTAAGAATTACTATAATGTTTTTTCTAAAGCCCCCCAATAAATTATCTATTTGCTTAGTATAATTCAGATTGAAGAACTGTTAAGATGTTCTTTCTGTTGTTCATTGGTTTGAGATCCATGGTGTTCTTTTAAGCTCATTCTTTTCCAATCAATTTATTCACTTTGTTTTTCAGAAGAAAAGATGCTGTAACAAAATAAATGCATTACTTACCCAAAGTATTTAATTGTCTTTTCTGCTCCAAATTCCTTTCTATTCACACACGTGTACTTGATTTTTTTTGGCAAACGTGTACTTGATTATCTGATGTGCATGTTTCATTGCTCTTCCTTATTGATCTTATGTGTTTGACTTGGATCAAATGCTCTGTTCTCAGATTGTTGACTGCATTATAGGATGTCTCAATATCTCATCTGATCCAGCAACTTTTATTCAGGTTTGTGCTTTAGATGTTTGTTTTGAAGAAATCATGTATGCCCACCACAATGCTGCATACATTTTTCAAGATAGACGCAATTGTCAGTATCCAATTTTATGGTGCAACCCCAGGACCTCATGTTATTTGAAGTCTTCCCAGAAACTGAAGCACATCAACCATATATACCAGAAATCCTGGATCAATATGGGGATGCCAAATTTGAGGCTTTGCCTCAAAAACAAAAACCAGATATAGTTCCACAAAAATAAAAATTAAAAGAGAAGCTCTCACAAAGAAATCTACAGCATGAACAGAATTGCATAGAATTCCCTAAACACTAGATTAACCCTCACTGTTAAGCACTTTTTTGCTAACATAGTCCTTGGATTTTTTTTTATTAATAACAATGAATTTCATTAATATTAAAGAAGAAGTATACATACAAACAGAGGGAGGTAAGCAATCTTAACTCCCTTGCAATCAACAAAACAAAAATTACAGGATTAGAAATGAGCCCAAAACAAAGAATCCCTAATAAACCCCTTGCTTTGCTAACCCATCCACAAATGAATTAGCAGATCTCTTCACCCAACTGAACTTTATCTCAATATCTTTTGCTGGCCATTTAATTTTTTTCCTTTCATTGCTGTAATTCCACATAGCAGTCTTGTCTTCCTCTAGTCATCTTACCTCCACCTCTGAGTCCCCTTCAATTATCAGTCTCCTAATGTTCAGCTCCCTGGCTCTTTGAACTACCTCCAATGCTGCCAAGATTGATAAGATAAGAAGATCGGTTAGGGTGCCCAAGAAAAACCCGAGATACTTGGAGTGATGATAAGATAAGACGCACTCTGTTTCTCTGTTTCTGTTTCTGTTAGAAGGAGTCAATAACTTTCTCTGTTTCTATTTCTGTTTAGAAGGAGTCAATAACCGGCGAGAGAATATCTCGGCCAAGTAGCTTATCGAATAGTTGTTATTCTGTTAGTTTGTTAATCCCTTAATTAAGGGATATTGTTAGTTTGTTAATCCCTTAACTAGGGGCTGACTTCCTGGTAGACAGTTAAGAATTACCTGTATTTAAGCACCACCCAACCAGCTTGGAAGGGGGAGTTTAATAAAGATTCTGTGGTTTGTTCTCACCCAAAGAAGAGATTTATTTGTAGCTACTTACTGGGACCTATCATTGGTATCAGAGCTACTGGTTTCATGGCATCTAACAAGGAGAGGATCGAGACTTGGGAAGCAGGCCTTGGAGGACTCCAGAGCAGCTTCAGCCGAATGGAAGAGAGTATGTCAGACAAGTTACACCGATTGGAGGATACCATCAATAAGCTGTCTGAAGTTATATTCTCTAGCAAAGGAATTGGAGTTAGCAATAATCCTGAGACATCGTATGCAAAGGGTCGAAGTCGCATCGTTGGAGAGGAGGTCCACGATAATTCGGATGAAGGACGGCCTCTGTTCGCAGCAAAACCCATCAAAGTGGAATTTCCTCGCTTTTCAGGTGAGGATCCAACAGTTTGGTGTGCAAGAGCTGAGCAGTATTTTGATTTTCAGGGTACCTCGGATTCACAGAGGGTTCCCTTAGCCTCTTTCCATTTAGAGGGCGAGGCTAATGAATGGTGGCAATGGATGAAACGGACCTACAAGGAAGAGGGCAAGGCAGTAACATGGGAAAACTTTCTAGAGGAACTATGGGCCTGATTCGGCCCTACCGACTCTGAAGATTTCGACGAAGCTTTGTCAAAAATCAAGCAAACAGGGCCCTTACGTGATTACCAGAAGGAATTTGAAAGGTTGGGCAACCGTGTGCAAGGCTGGACTCAAAAAGCTCTAGTAGGAACATTCATGGGTGGTCTAAAGGCTGATATAGCAGACGGTATTCGTATGTTCAAACCTCGATGCTTGAAGGATGCTATCAGCCTAGCACGAATGAGGGACGAGCAGCTAGCTCATTATAGGAAGCTTCCCAAACCAATCAACCAGCCCATCGTGGAGGTATCATCATCTGTGAGAAGCAAACAGCCTCTCCCCACTAAGAGTCTCTCTTGGGAGGAAATGCAGAAACGGCAAGTTCGTGGCTTATGTTTTAACTGTGATGAAAGGTTTACACCGGGGCACAAATGCCAAGGGCCAAATCTGCTGTTACTTGAGGCAGGATCGAGTGATACGGAGGAGGACAATAAGGACGGCTTAAATTTTCCAGAGGAGGAGGCACCAGAAATTTCTCTCCATGCTCTCACTGGATGGGCTGCAAATCGGACCATGAGGGTTAAAGCCAAGATAGGATCGCAGGAGCTGATAGTTCTCATCGATAGTGGATCCACGCATAACTTTATCAATGACAAGGTGGCGGGGTTTCTACAGTTGCCAGTGGTTCCCACCAAGCCGTTTACAGTAAAGGTAGCTAATGGGAAGGCCATAACATGTCAAGGCAGGTTCGAGAACGTGAAAATTCTCCTACAAGGTATACCCTTCACTTTAACTCTTTATGCATTGCCACTAATGGGTTTGGACGTGGTTCTAGGAGTCCAATGGTTAGAACTCTTGGGCATGGTAGTTTGCGATTGGAGAAAGATGTCCATGGAGTTTCAATGGAAGGGAAATTACCACCAGTTACATGGGATGGATGCTCCTCCAATCCAGGCCACGTCATTCAAG